ATCGAGTACCCCATAGCAAAACACAATCCATTCCATATGAAAAATGGAAAGGAAGGAAGCCCAACTTGAATTATTTTAAAGTGTGGGGGTGTTTGGCAAAAGTGCAAGTTCCTAAACCCAAAAGGGTAAAAATAGGACCGAAAACCGTTGATTGTGTTTTCATAGGATATGCGACTAATAGTAAAGCATATCGATTTCTGGTTCATAAATCAGAAAATCCCGACATTCATAATAATACGGTTATAGAATCAGATAATGCTGAGTTCTTTGAAAATATATATCCGTATAAAAAGGAATGTGAGTCGATTGGTGAAGGATCTAAACGACCTCGGGAAGAAACAAAAGAAAGTACACTTAACCAAGAGGATCCAAGACGTAGTAAACGTCAAAGAACGTCTACTTCATTTGGACCAGATTTTGTGACTTTCTTATTGGAAAATGAGCCTCAAACATTTAAAGAAGCTATGTCTTCTTCGGAATCATTGTTATGGAAAGAGGCGGTCAATAGTGAAATAGAATCCATACTGAACAACCATACATGGGAATTGGTTGATCTTCCTCCTGGAAATAAACCGTTGGGTTCTAAATGGATCTTTAAGAGGAAAATGAAAGATGATGGCACTATTGACAAGTATAAGGCAAGACTTGTGGTCAAAGGGTATAGACAACGAGAAGGTCTTGACTATTTTGATACATACTCTCCAGTTACAAGAATTACATCCATACGAACGTTAGTAGCGTTAGCTGCAGTTTATGGTCTTGAAATTCATCAAATGGATGTTAAGACGGCCTTCTTAAATGGAGAGTTGGAGGAAGAAATTTACATGGAACAACCTGAAGGGTTTGTGGTTCCAGGTAAAGAAAAGAAGGTCTGTAGACTTGTTAAGTCCCTTTACGGATTAAAACAAGCACCCAAACAATGGCATGCTAAATTTGACCAAACAATGTTGTCAAATGGATTTAAGATAAATGAATGTGATAAATGTGTGTACATTAAAAATGTTCCAAATCACATAGTCATTGTTTGCTTATATGTGGATGATATGCTCATAATGAGTAATGATATTGCCAATATAAATGCTACTAAGAGTATGCTAACTAGCAAGTTTGATATGAAAGACTTGGGAGTTGCTGATTTAATTCTGGGAATTAAGATCCATAAGACTTCTCAAGGTCTAAGCATTGTCACAATCTCATTATATTAAGACAGTACTTGAAAAATTCAAGCACTTGGGCTTTAAAGTTGCAAAGACTCCAATTGATGTGAATCTTGCATTAGCAAAGAACAAAGGCCAGAGCATATCACAATTGGATTATGCTCGTGTGTTGGGTTGCTTAATGTACATCATGAATTGTACACGACCAGATATAGCTTGTGCTATAAGTAAATTGAGTCGATATACGAGCAATCCAGGCCAATCTCATTGGATGGCCATGAAACGAGTTTTGGGGTATTTAGTACATACCCAGGACTTTGCTTTGCACTACAATAAATATCCTGCGGTCATTGAGGGATACTGTGATGCAAATTGGATCACCGGATCAACTGATTCCAAGTCCACAAGTGGATANCCCATATCGACTCTAGAGTTTCCGGAGTCGTTACAGAACCACTTGGATGATCTCCGCACGAAGTACGGCATACCTGCCTATGTAGAGATGGTTCCGGCGGGGAGGGATCACGTGGACGTTCATCGGCCAGGATATTGTGCCTTTTATGAATACTCCTTCTCGATCGGTTACAGCCTCCCTCTTTTCCCATTGGCGGAGGAATTTTGTCGGTTCTTTAATGTGTGTCCGGCTCAACTTACACCGTATACTCTGAAGGTGCTTCGGCTGCTGACTAAGTACGCGGAGTTGGCTGGATGCGAGGTCACGGTCCATCACCTCTTTCAGTTATTCAATGCCTGCTATCTAAGGGGGACCATGGTGCATCTGAGAGGCCGTGGTACGAAAGGGTTGGTGGTCAAAACCGACGACCGAGCGAGTCGTGGGTTCTGGCGCAAATATTTTTTTATTAGGACCGAGCACATGGTCTCTAATCCTGCCGGGTTCCCAGAGAGGTGGAACTCGAAACGTAAGTATTTATAGTTTGTCAGCTTCTGTGTTACTCGTGACCGTTGCCACTCTGACCTTTATATTGCAGCTATGGCTCACCCGCCCCGGCCCGTTGCCAACCTTAGGGGATGGGTTATGGGCTTGCTTCCTTACGCGGAAGAGACCCGCACTTGGCCTGCCTTCCTGTAGCGTTACGGCCCCAAAGTCTCTTCAGGTAGATTTTCGATTTTTGCTTTGTAAATTCTGCAACTTTGCTTACTTATTTTTTATGGCGACAGGTCGAGGCGCTTCTAGGAAGAGGGTGCCGATCCTCGCTCCACATCGATTTGACGTTGCCTCGGCCGCTCATGATATACTGGTTGAGTCTGTTTGAGAGGATCCTTCTCCAGCTCCTTTGCAGGGGGCCACGTCTACGATCGTGGTTATGTGGGAGTCGGCATCGCTGGTGCCGACTCTGCAACTCGTGGACGGACCCTCTGATGGCGGGGAATCGTCAGCAGAAAACGGNAGAAGGCTTGAGAAGGGTAAGGGGTGGCCACCGAGGCCGAAGGAAGTGATGTGCCCCANCGGCTTCGGCTTCGGCTGCGGCTACGGCTTCGGCTTCGGCTTCGGCTTCGGATTCGGATTCGGATTTGGATTTGGTCAAATGATCGATTGATTGATTAACTTTTTGGACCAAATTTATTTGTTAATAGTAAAATATTAACAGAAATGTTATTAAATATTTGTTCTAATAACAAAATATTAATATTAAATCCAATCCGTTTTTCTGTTTTGGTAACAGAAAAGTAACTACCCTCTTCAATTTTTCCTCTTTATTTTCCCTCTTTCTTATTGAGTAAATGGCCATTTATGTAATGGCATTTATGCTGTGGGCGTTTTGCATAAACAGCCATTCTGAAGAGTTGCACCTCTTCAGATTTCAGCCTAACTTTGGCTATAAATACAACACTATTCTGCTCAGAATTTCACTACGATTTTCTGAGTTTCTTCTCCTTCTTCTGCATACTTTTAGCATCAAACAAAGCAAAAAGTAAGTGTGATTTGCTACCGAACTTTGTGTTCGCTGAAACACTGGGGTTTGAAGTACCACTACACCAGTGTGTAATTCGTTCTATCCTGGGAGGAAAAAATCCATAACTTTGGGTACTAGGAGGGGATTAAATTCCTTAAGGAAACACTGTGAATTCAGTGGGCTCGAATTGGTTTTATGTCATTTCTGTTTATGTTCATTTCTGTTTATACTCATTTATATTTCCAGAATTATTTTACAAATATAGTCTAGTAACAATGACACCTGCTGTAAGAAAGTTTAGAAGTTGACAAGTGTCTAGCAATAATATTATTGATCACTTTCATACATTCACCATTACCTAAAGTTCATACTTTTTAATTGGCGAAAAGTTAAAACTTTTACAGACAATATATCTTGCCCGCAACATTTAGCCAGAGTTGGCAAAATTTCATATCCACGAGCTCGAGATCGTAATCCATTTAATTATAGGCAATCCACTTTATCTTGGCAACTTGAATCATTTAGTATCGTTATAAAGCCTGATTAGACAATTTATGTTATTCAACCCACTTGTCTTAGTAGTTTGCCTTACTAAGCACAAAAAGAACGATTTCATGATCTCTTTACAAATATATCTTTTAGTCATATTACCTTCTGATAGAAGATCGATAAAATATAATACATTAGGTGTTTGAAGGATTTTTTAAAACAATGTAATTGATTATGAAAAATTATTTCCTTAGTAACCACATCAAACACAACGAAGAAAGTAAGTGCCATTATTGAAATTGACAGTTTTTGAATGTGTGTGCCAAAGAAAGGTTTCACGTTAGAACCCACCTTAAAAGTAATGGAGTTGCTTTACAAAACATCATAATAACTACATAAATAAAATAAAGTTAAACTCTACTACAACAGAATTATTTGTGCTTTTGGAGTGGATGAATTTCACATCGGTCAATTCCACCCCATATAGTGTCTGCGCTGGGGCATAAATTTCCGTTGACATAGTACAATAAGATTCCATGTTACAATTAGGGTTTGGACTAAGTTAATAGTGAGCTATGGATCATCAAATTAAAGTCATACTCATATGCAGAGTATACCATGTTTTTGTAATTCATGAAGTTAACTAATTGAAGTTTGTATATACCTGTTGATACTCCCTTCGTTTCAATTTAAAAGTCACACTTTCCTTATTAGTCCGTTTAAAAAATAATGACACATTTCTATATTCAGAAACAATTTAACTTTAAACATTTATTTTATTAACTTTACATTTAATGAGAAACTTTTATAGTCACACGAATGTTATGGCCCCACAAAGCTTTTGACTCTTAAGCTTTTAGGACCAGATATTTCAAAAGTCTTCTTTTCTTTCTTAAATTTTGTGTCAAGTCAAACTACACATCTAAATTGAGACGGAGAGAGTAGTATTTTAAAATTTACTCATGATTCAAATACATAACTCCATAATTAGTACACTAGTTGATAAATGGATCTTGGGTCGAACTCACCCCAAAAACTACCTAGCTTATTAGGTGATGATTGCCCAAGACATATATAGAGACCATGTAACGACAACATAAATGAGGGCAAACATTGGTAAATAATAAATTGAGTTGGCCCGCCTCTAATATCATGCATGATAAATGAATCTTGAGCATAGCTTAACCCTAAAAAGCCAACGTTGAATATTGCGCAAGACCCCCTAAAAGACCATGAAACTCTCACGCACCAATGTGGGACTCAACACCTTCATATTTCACTTAGGCTCGAAGGAACGAATAATTTCTATCTTGCCCACACTGTTTTCACTTTACTCTTAACTGTTATATTATACTTTCAACTTTTACTTCTTCCTTTTCTGCTTCGGAAAACAAAATATGAGCATGCAGCAACTAGCAAGCATTCATGATCAACAGAATTATCGAAAAGAGTTAAAAGACAATTATTGGATTCAAGTCAGGACTTAAGACTCAGAACATTACATAGCATTACAAAAAAAAAAAAAAAAAAAAAAGATAAAAAGAATAAATGGAAAATTATTTCATTACATCTATATACTAGTACTAAGTATGTAGTACGTACTATTTTCTTTTTGAAATTTTCAAAAATACCCCAAAAAGAAAAGAAAAAAAAAACTCCCATGAAAGCAGAAATTTATACATGCAATAAGCATATACAATCTTCATAGTGCTCCAAATCTTCGTTCTTTATTGCATTGATGGCCATCATCCACATGCATGAATTCTCAATATTTGCATCAATTAGGAGTAGGAGAAGCCTGCCGCCTCAAATCCCTGTAGAATTTTGAAATGAAATTTTCAGCAGCCTCATCAACATGGCTATCATCTTCAACGTCTCTCAGTGGAAAAGGCGAGTCGGTGACCCTCAGTTGCCTCACCGTCGGAGTCCTCCCAAATCCCGGCAAATCATTAGCCGGCGACGCATTTGCACTCTGAAGCATTTCCAAAGCCTTCACAACAGCCGCATTCATCATAAAAACGTCGTCGTTAGTGGTGGCCGGCGCGTGAAAATGGTGCGCGTGGTGCTTGCTGCGCTTGTTGAAGTTGAATGGAAGGTGAAAAGTTGGGTAAGCTGGGCTGTTACTGCAACTGAATTCATACTCATCGGGTGGAGCGTGTGAGAGATCTCCCACGTGCGAAGCGGCAGAAGATGAGGAATTAGACCATTGATGGGTCATGTGGTGGAACATGAGATTATGAATTGCGGCTTTGCTAGCAATTTTGCTACGCTTCATAAATAAGTTGAAATCCAGCATAAATTTTCTCTTTGAAATGCCTTTTTTCAGCATGAAGAAAGCTACTCGTACTGTGTTCCAGAATTTCTTTGCTATAATTGGCAAATTTTGATCCATTTTTTGTTTAAGGATTTGGTTCGATTGAGAACGTTAGAATTTGTGATAGATTTGATGCTTTGAAAGAGAAGGAATATATATATAGGAAAAGAAATGTTTTTGATTTGTTGGAATGGAAAATGTGTGAAACTATAAGAGGGTATTTATAGGGCATCCGTAGAGGAAGAGGACGCTCTCAAGTACTTAGGATTTCTCTTTTATTTTTTAAACAACATTTTTTTGTGACAGGAATTATAAGTACTTTACTGTTAAGTTAAAGTGACACATTGAGGCAGGGCTCAAGGATATATCGACTTATATCAATTTTTTATTAGATCAATTATTAATGTTGGCACTTGGTTTATATTAGGAGGGGTTTAGTCGTTTTCATCAATCAAGTTTGTGATTTCGCCTCCCCTTTCACATGAATCACAAATTTTCTGACTAATTCCACATAACTACTACTACTACTACTCTATATTACTTCTCCATGAAGAAAAATTTAACTACTAAACCACTACTCTGCTTCCTTGAGTGATTGTCCTAAAGTATTACCACTATTCTTTTTGAGTATTTGCAAAATATGGATATTTGTTTATTTTTAAAAATTACGCGGTTTAAAGTATACGTGATTTATTTAACACGAATAATCCAAGAACAACAAATAATTAAATTAAAGAAAGATAAGACGATCAAACCAAACGTGATGGAACAATCAAGCCTGACTTTAAGTTTAACAATGAAAACTGGCTCCGATCGAGCCCTCATTACGGGCTCGGTTGCAACTAAAGAAAAGAGTAACCCAAGAACACTTTCAATAATAGCTAGAAGACAAAAATGTACTTTTATTCTTTTATATGTGTGCCAACAGTGGGTTAGAATAAAAAAGTTCTCCCATTTATATAGTAGGGGAATTTCAATCTTAGTACAAGTCTAAATAAGGTAAAACTCTTCTCTTTTCAGTAAATGTCGAACTGCAATTGATATCGGATGGAATTTGCACCGTAATATCCGATTGAAGGTGGATATTACGGCTCCTTGCTCATCGTGCCTAATCATTTTTTCTTTTTCCTTAGTCTCGACACTTCACTCTGCCCGGATCCGATATTCAGCTGCGCTCGATCTTGGATGCACCGTTCGTGCTCTTCGGGCTCCGAAACGAGGAACCCTTCGGCTTCACTTGAGGTTGCGTTAGAATATACTTCTTTCTTGTTCCTTTACTGGGAAATCAGGGATAACATTATCCCCAACTTTACCCGTACACAGATAGTCCCCCACTTTTCGGAGAGTAAATTTATCGGAGCAATGAGAAGTAATTAATTGACCCCGGTTCCTTCTTCCATATGCTACAATCGGATCGACGAGTCAGAGAAACGTCTCATCAATCGCGTCGTTCTGACTTCAAACACGTGTCAGCCATCGGTTGAACGTCCTTGAAAGCGAAACGTCACATATTAATTAATTCCCCCCTATAAAAGCTTCAGTTCTTTTTTCACTTATTACTATCCGTTCTCAAACCTTCTTAAGTTACCCCCAAAAATTTTACTTGCTCATAATCCCTTCAAATATTCATATATTGTTCTTCACATCTTTACATCTTCATCTTCGCATATTCAAATCTTCATATTATGCCCTTGAATCTTTGAGTTTGACCTTCAAACCTTCATTCTCATCTTTAAACCTTCATACCTTCATCTTCATACATTCATATTCATAGAATTTGATGGTGAAACTTCGAAGTCTGTGCCTCAATAGGCGGTCCCGGATGTCAAAGTGGTCGTACCTGAAGCGACCCCGAAACCTCCTCTAAATAATTTCATCCGCGGAGGATGTAAAAAAATCCTCCAAGCAAGGGAACCAAGGTGAGGAGGTGTGGAAGTACATATGCTCCATTGCCGAAGACATATGCTCCATTGCCTAGGACACTCTCTCGACTGTTCGGGAGGACTGTAAGTGGGAGGGAAAAGAAGTGGTAGTCCCTGACCCCGATGAGGACATCATCACACATATGGAGGGGTATTTAAGCATTTGTACATACCCCATCACGCTTGGCCCGATGGATAAAATAGTCCTCGATTTCTACAAGAGGTAATAGGTCTGCCTCGGGCAGATTCACCCAACCTTTTGGAGGATCATGATCCTCCCCGTCACTTCGTCAATAACATGGAAGAGGGTCGGTTTACCATCGACCACCTGTTTCGCCTATGCAGTCCCTGAATCTTCCAAATGGGATTAATCAAGCTCGTTCAACGGGTAAGGAAAGTTCCATTCTCGAGCATTATGAAGACAGGGATCGAGGCTGGCTGGGGAGACTTGTTCGGGTGAAGACCAAGGATCTCATCCTTCCCGAGTTCCTGTCTTTCCCTGAAAGTGGAACCTGACTCGTAAGCTCCTCTCCTTTTGAGTATTTAGAATACTTCTTGAATTTTATTCTGCTCTCTCAATGCCTGGTTCTACCGTCGTGCCGCAGTTGCCATAGTCCCCAACGCAATTCCCCGCTTCAAAGAGCGGGTCGAGGGGATCTGCAAATAGTTATTGTACTTTGAGTGCGAATGGCGCAAACTCTCAAAGGACAGGTGGGAGGCCCGTTCCTATGGTGAGTGTTCTCCCCCCAATCACATTTTCTTTTCTATTCAACCGTCATCTTTACTACGTCCCTCTCTTCCTTTCCACAGTTTTGCCCAAGACCACTAAGCTCCGAGCAGTGGACGAGGACAAGGCTCTGTCCTCACCTGCTAAACCCTCCAGTTTGGGACTGCTTGAGCCCATTGTGAAGAAGGAGGATATAAAGAGAAGAAAGAGGAGGTCTCCTGGTTCCCCATACGCGGATGCCGAGGCTAAGAAGAAGAAGGTCACAGTCAGGGTCCGAAGGAGCAACAAGAAGAGTGCCGGGCCAGGGTACCGGACCCCGAATCCCCTTTGCGGCTCTGGGACTACCCTGAATATGACAAATTGGAGTTCGTCGCCCATGGGCCGATCGTTGATTCAGAAGAGCGAGAGCCATCGGGGAGGCGTGATCGGGAGACTCGGGAGTACGAAGGAAAGCCAGTGGCCATGGCCTCTCGAGAGCTACTCCTGCTCCGAGAGAATCCGTCGGTGTCATGGGAATCCCGGAGTAGCCGTCGCACATGGAGTCTCTATTTGATGAGGCTCAGGCCTCAAAGAGAAACCAATCGAGACATCATGGCCGTAAAAGAAGATCTAGTGAAGATGAACAAGGTGGATGTACTGAGCCTCTTCAACGAGGCACAACATGTGTCCAATAGGATATGCTTCTCTTTCTTTGTATCCTTTGAAGGGTTCATTTAACCTTAACGTATTCTTATGATCTCATCAATTTTGTTTCTCAGGCCTCGGTGCTTCATCATGAGAGCTTCCATCAGTCTCGGATGGAGGTGAGCCAGCTCAAGTTTGAGCTCAAGGATTAGGCCCGACAGAAGGATATGTACAAAACTCACAACGAGCAAAGAGACGAGTCCCTCAAGGACCTCCCTATTCTCCAAGCAGAGTTGGAAAAGCTCAAAAGGAGGATTTGTTGGTAAACCAGGAACATGTCTTTCTAGTCGAGAAGGTAAGGATATTTAAGTTTAACAATGAGAGGTTAAGTGTAGTAGCTAATTCCGTAACCTCGCAAGTCTAAGAGAAGATAGACCTAATCGAACAGCTCCGTGCCGAGATGAACGAGCTCAAAGCTTCGGCCGAGGCGTTAAGGAGCAAGATGGATCTTCTGACCCTTGGAAAAGGAGGCTACTAAAGAGGAGCTGGCGTCGTCCAAGGACCAGCTCAGGGTGACTAAGGATAAATCCGATAAGTGGTCTCGGCTGAATGATGAGCTCCGAGCACAACTGGGATCGGCCGTTTCGGAACGCAATGCCCTCTGCCGGGAGCATACCACATTGAAGTCTAAGTTAGAGGCGGCTTCGACCGATGCCTCTGAGGTCCAGGATATGCTAGCACAATACAAGAATGGCGTGGAGTTAGCCGAGGCTCGTTTAATAAAGAAGCCCGAGTATGTAAAGTGGCTATCCAAGAGGGAGACTTTCGAGGAGATTCACGCCCGGGATTTCGATCTATCGGCCGAGATTGAAGCTAAGAGGCTCGAGGCCGAGTTCAAAGAGGTATACGAACCCAAGGGTTCAGGCAGTGAATCAAGCTCTAGTGAAGACTAGGCGGAGATGCCTTAGCTTATTTTTTTTTCTTTTGTACAATTTTTTTTGTTTACTTTGAGGCCGTTTTACCGTGCCTTTCTAAATACTTTTGGAATATATAGGGTATACTATGTCTTTTACTTTTCAGCATCTGTTTGCAACTCTTTGTTTGAAGAATATCATTAATTCCTTAGCATAAAATCTGACATAATTTAGAGTGCTCGTCCCCCCGAGTCCGAATGAGGCCTGGTTTTGATAACAACTCCGAGTTGCTTAGGGTTCGAAATATTTGATAAAAGAATAAAGTCCTTAAAATACTTGAATGTTCAAACCTGACACGATGATGCTTTGTCGAGGGTGACCTTTTTTTCATAAGTTTTAATCATGTGTAAGGACCCTACTTTCTACGTACGAACTTCGACGTCTCTAGGGCCGTTTTAAGTTGGTCATAGCCTTTCATGCTCGGGCCTTGCATAATAGGCTCGGTGCCTCCGGGACTCGATAGCCCAAGCTGTCCAATCTTATTGTCGGACAGCATTCCCCGACTCATGGGGCCGTGTGCTCTAGAATTTTGAACCCATTATTTTGAACCCAAATATATCGCAGGTGCAAATGTGAAGTGATGAAATATAGAGGGCAAATTTCTTTCATTACTTTGCATTTAGAGTACATGATCGAAGGCTCAAAAGCTTTCTGTCATGGCAAGAATGAGCTACACAGGCACCGTTCGTTTGACCTTTTGACCCTTAAAATAAATTCTAATCGTCAAGCCTTGGCTTTTAACATCAAATAAAAAATTCCTTCTAAGGATCCTAACTTAGGGCGTAATGGCTCCCCCAGTATTCGAGACTGAGCTCGTGAGGGCTCGAATATTATGGATCCAATATGGGTGGTCAGCAATTCCAGCCTCAGGCCAGTCTTTGAAACTAAGGTAGCACGTTTTACTATTGTTTCGTTAAAACCCTTGCCGTAAAATCCACTTCGGAAAAAATCGGTCCAAAAAA